AAACCAAAATATAAAAACGAAAACATCAATGATAAATACTCCAACGTAGTTTTTTTTTTTTTTTTTCCAAGTATTAAATAAACAGAAAGGATGCTATTTCGCAGTTATTTTTCTAATTGATAAATATTTACTAGTAGTTTAATAATATGACACAATGCTGTGTACCAAAATGGAAAAAAAAAAAAAAAGCATAATGATGATAGGCCCTACCCTTCAAAACTTTTGAAATCAAAGTATCAAACAAACTAATTGGCAAAAGTAAAATTTTTTTTTAAAAAAAAAGGGCTTGAAGTTGAACGACTCTTCCAAAGAAGGAAAAAAGAAAAAAAGAAAAAAAAAAAAGTCCCAACAAACGCTTCTGAATTTCAAATCTCTCCCCGATTCGCGGCTCCGATAATCTTCCGGAATCGCAATTTCTCCGGTGAATGGAGGCGATTAGAAAACAGGCGACGAAGCTCAGAGAACAAGTCGCCAGACAACAGCAGGTCTCCTTCTTCTCTATATCTTAAATCAGTCTCGGATCAAAAACCTAATTCCTTCGCGTAGATGCTTCCGATCCGATTTGAACTCCATTCTCAGCTCTCTGTATTCACGATATATTCCCTATTGTTTGTTTTTGCAATTTCCTCTCGTTTTCTTGTTTCATTTATTGCTTTATAAGTTTTGGTTGCGATGATTAATTTGATTTGTTCATATTTCGTGCGATACCATTAAGCACTGGATCTATCAATTGCATGCGAGTAGGAAAGAGCGCATTTTTATTTATTAATCAAACCATTACAGCGCTTTTATGCAATATGTATCTTTCTTTAATCCAAATTTGGAGTCTAGATTTGGTCAATGGTTGTATGAGATATATCTTAGTGAGGAAGTTTATCTGTGGAAAGTGGCCTGCATCTTTGTAGTTTGTAGTGTTACATTTTTATGCATTATGTATGTTTCTTTAATCCAAATTTGGATTCTAGATTTGGTCAATGGTGGTATGAGATATATCTGAGTGAGGAAGTTTATCTGTGGAAAGTGGCCTGCGTCTTTGTAGTTTGTATTGTTACATTTCAAATAAATCATACATGATGAAAGCCCTTTTTTAGAATCGGCTGTTTGTACGAGTTTCCATTTTATAAGTGAATTTCTTCTTCTTTTTTTTTTTTGGATTTTGCCATTAATGGACTTTGAATGAAAATAGCATTGGAAACATTCTCAGCTTTAAGCTCACAAAAACATCCAAATTTGCAATTACTGTTGCCTTTTTCTCGTTTCTGTTCTACTGAAGTTTGCTAATAAGGATGCTATTAAACTGAATGCTACTTTAGGCTGTCCTTAAACAGTTTGGAGCTGGGGGGTATGGAGCTTCAGATAATATAGTTACGGATGAGGCAGAGCTTCAGCAGCATCAAAAGCTTGAGAAGCTTTACATCTCAACACGTGCTGCCAAGGTTTCCTTGTTTGTTCTATTGTATTGTTTTCTTCTCCATTATTAACTTTCTTGACATTTGCATGATTATTTTTATTTTTCAGCATTTTCAACGGGATCTCGTGCGCGGTGTAGAAGGATATATTGTCACAGGGTCCAAACAAGTTGAAATAGGCAAGTTGGTGAAGCACTGGCATCAGTTTTGCTACTCACTTTGAATTTAACAGACATGACATGGTTATTCAGCTATATCTTGTTTTGTTCAACAGGAACTAAGTTGTCTGAGGATAGCAGGAAATATGGTGCTGAAAACACTTGTACTACTGGTAGCACATTATCAAAAGCAGCTCTAAGTTATGGGCGTGCTCGTGCTCAAATGGAGAAGGAGCATGGAAATCTATTGAAGGCCTTTGGTACACAGGTTTGACTGAAATTCTTTTAACCCAAAACAGAACATCTACAATTTAGGTTGCAGTCTTGCGGAAGCATGATTGACCTGTAAGCTTCTGATTTATGAGTTATTAGAAGTGATCGTTGGACACCCATATTTTAAAATTAAGTTTTGAACCACATTTATTTTTAAGGTTGGGTGCTTACACTGTAACTGGCTGGTCAGATGGGCAGTGTTATTTACAAAATATTGCAACATGTCTTTTACCTACTTTATAGAACATGATCCAAACGCAACTTGTAGGTGCCACATCTCAAAGTATGTATTGTTATCAGGGTCTAATTTATAAAAGCAGAAAATAGCACCTTTTTAATTGATATGTGAACCAAATTCTATCTATTAAATACCATACAACCATCATCCTGTTTTGATAACAAGTGAGAAAAAGGAAACAAATGCTCAAAAGCTGTGCAGCCCTTAACTTTCTATTTTTTTTCTTCAAGAATTTAATACGTTGCCATATTTCTATCTGAAATTCAGAGATTGAGAATGAACATCTTAGGTACAGACTTTGTATTGAACCTCTAATACTTGAGTATCTATATCCCATTTTTAGTCTTACCTAAGTGTTTTTCTGGATCTTTTCCCATTCTCCTCCTATGATCAGCTGCTTGATGTGGTCTTGATTTTTAGGTTGCTGAACCATTAAGAGCAATGGTAATGGGAGCTCCTATAGAGGATGCACGACATCTTGCTCAGCGTTATGACAGGATGCGACAGGAAGCTGAAGCTCAGGTATATTGGAATATGAGACTCTTAATTGAACTGTTGATTTTGTAACAAGGTTGTGTTTAAAACCTTATTTGAACCTACACAGGCTATTGAAGTTTCCAAACGCCAAGCAAAAGTGAGGGAAACACCGGGCAATCCTGAGAATGTTTTGAAATTGGAATCTGCAGAAGCAAAACTGCAAGATCTGAAATCAAATATGGGAATTTTAGGGAAGGAAGCTGGTGCAGCAATGGCCGCTGTTGAAGCCCAACAACAAAGATTGACACTTCAGCGGCTTATTACTATGGTAAGACAGACTTTCTTCTGTCTAAAGTTTAATCATGATATGCCATTGATTATTGAGAAAATACTCTGAAAATTCTACTTTCTATCTTCTTTATTCTGGATTGAAGGTTGAAGCTGAACGCACATACCATCAGAGAGTCTTGCAGATACTTGAACAGCTTGAAAGCGAGGTTTGCATTGATGTGAACAGGTTCCTCTTATGGTTTTACTAGTATTCTATAGTTTCTGCTGAATTAACAGTTGAAATTTTCCATCTTTTCTGCACTGTTTTATTGATAGATGGTATCAGAGCGACAACGAATTGAGGCACCCTCTAGTGCAAGTGTGGACAGCATGCCTCCACCTCCTCCATATGAGGAAGTTAATGGAGCATATGCTTCTCAAATGCATAATGGGTCTACAGACAGCATGGGATACTTCTTAGGAGAGGTAGTTGCTATATTTCTCACTTTCTTTTTTCTGTTCTGTTTAGGATTTGAACAATCAAAGTTAGCTAAAAGTCTATGATGAGTGTTTAATTGCATCATGCTGCAGGTTATGCATCCCTATCAAGCTGTATCTGATGTGGAGCTGACTTTGTCAATTGGAGACTATGTTGTTGTCCGAAAGGTTTAAATATGACTCCTCTTACATTGTTTTCAAAATATCTTGTTTCAAGTCACCTCTAAATTTATTGCAAGTATGACTCATATCCCGTTATTATCTTGGCAGGTGACAAACAATGGCTGGGCTGAAGGAGAATGCAAAGGAAAAGCAGGTTGGTTCCCTTATGGATATATCGAAAGAAGGGAACGTGTACTTGCAAGCAAGGTGGCAGAAGTTTTGTAAAGTTTTCTGCTTGTTGGCTTCTAGGAAGAGTGCTTGGTGTGTATCCTTGGCTCTAAATGTATTCAAAGGCGGAGGGTCTGTTGTCACAGATAGAATATTGCTTCATCACCTAGTTTTGATCTCTTATAAAATACCACCATTTCCCCTCTTTGTTGTTGTGGATATGTGAATACATTTTATATCTTAATTATTTATTTTTTGGTGATATGAATCCTCATTTGTTGACATCTCTTCATTGACGAGTAACCGGCCGCAATGTTTGCTCTTATGCCTCCACTATGTTGTAGATGTTATTGTTATAAAAAAAAGGTATAAATATGGTTTATATCATACAATCTAAACTATTAAATGAAGAATTATTTTTTATTTAATAATATTTATTTACTTATTTTTTTAACATAATTTTTCAATGAAGAATTAATGAGGAAAGGAAAAATTTTCAAATCATTGATAAGAGTCGAATCATTAAACCCAAAGGATTAGTTTATAATTTAATTTAATTTAAACCAAAAAACAAGAAATTCTTAATTGTTATTATTATCATCAAGATTTGGACCTATTCCACCACATATTTCTCCAACGTGGTCTTCTTGGGTTGCAGAAAATTGTGTGGCTACATTATTAGATGGAGTTACCCATCATATTCAAAACCCATATACAATACCTACCATGTAGTTATCTGATGAGATAGAGAGACTCTTAAATTTGCTTTATACAACTTCAACATACTATGCGACAATATCCCCGTTCTTCAGGTCTTATTTAGTCTTCTGCTTCACAGTATAAGAAATATGCAGGCAGTATAATGCTATGTGGCAACGGACAACCTAACGACAACGAATATCAGGCACGCCTAGCCTTAACAATATCGTGTATGAGCAAAAGAAAACAACTCCATGAGACAAGCATGCATTCAGGCAATCCATGGTCCTGGATGACAGGAAAAAGGAAAATAACAGAAGAATGTTAGGTGAGGAAGTGAACTTATTTCTGATAATGAATACATATTGTTTTGAATGTTTAGATAACCAAAACTTACACTAGTTACTTGACCACTTGCGATTATGATTAGCCAAAATGATGGCCAATATAACAAAAAGCATAACAACCTGCATTTAGTTAACAGCAAAATAAGATGTTTTTAAAATATGACCAAAAAAAAAAAAAAAAAAAAAAAAAAGAAGGGGGGAGAATACAGATGAAATGGTAATTTACCAAAAGAGTGTAATTGCGCTCATTCCGTGTTATGTAAGATTTCCTGGCCAAAACCCATCAAAGCTGGTCAATTAGGAAAAAAGAAAACAATAACTCTTGTGGAACTAGAAAAGTTGACAAACCTTTTGTTCAGGACCCCAGAGTCCCTGCAGGTCTTCTGGATCCGTTCCACCCTGCTCAATGTTTCCATTGCGTTAGGATCATTCTTGTCAACCTACAATAGCAGCAGAAGCATCTTTCATTGAGTTAAAACTCCTTCTGACTGGGAAATATGACAGTTGTGGCAAATTTGCAATCTAAAGCACATATACCATATACAGTTCAAAAATGGCATAACTGATTGAAGGTAAAGAGCGAGCTTATAATGCAACAGATACAGGAGAACAATTGCCTTGATTATGATGGTAAGGCCTCATTAGGAGATTTTTTCACATCCATCTTACTTTTCTTGGACATTCTTATTATTTCTGAATATTTGAGATTAAGACCACATTTACAATTCAAGCCAGGAATTTTCTTTGTTTTAACATTTAAAATGATTTACCTTTAACCATTCAAGACAATGTTCTAAATTTCAAGCACTCACAACCAGTAAAAGTGAATCAAGCATTTATTCTTTTCATCAATGAATTTATAACTGGACAACACACAAAGTAGGATCAGCATGGCTAAAAGGTCTAAAAGACAACTAAAGCAGTATACAAACTAATCTATCCATTAACACCCTCATTGTTGTCATGCAAATTAGTATTCCTCTACTCTAGTGTCACTACATTCATATACCTTCGATTTCAGCAAAGAAGAAAAGTCGAAGAAAGCACCGTAGACATCAGCCGTTGTATTGGTTCTTTCAATGATTTTAGCAGTGAGACCTGGAAAAATGGCCACAGTAATGGAATATTCAGCAAATATAGCAAGCCTTCTTCATCACCCAATTCTGCAGATTATATATATTCCATGTACGAAAAAACTAAAAGATGGAGAGCTGAAGTATCAAAGGATAAAGCCTGAAGAACATTAACAACTAAAATAAGACCATCATCAGACTTATTTCACTAAATTGTAGGTTTCCCTCATCTTTTTACATGTTATCAGTTACAAAAGAAGAAATTGCCATTGATCAACATCTTACCACGCCTCATTTTCACTACACCTCTAAATACTTCAATGTTGTTGTAGCATAAGGCTAGAGTTCCAATAGCCATGATCTAATAATCACAGAAAAAACAAATCCATAAGGCTTTAGCAAAACATTCACAATCAAAACAGGGATAAGTGGGGATAAGTGGTTGGCCAAAACAAAAGGCAGAGATAAGTGGAAGTGACGGTTAAAACTGGAAAATATTGCAGAATTAGTATGCTGTAAGATGAGATAAACAGAGTACCTAACAAGTAACACCCAAAAGAAGAATCTTGGGCTGAATTGTTCATCAAACTATTAAAGAAATGAAAACTTAAAACTTGTAATCGTGTTCTCATTTCAGCAAACTGTCTTCCTAACTACTGGGGAATTCTTACTTAAGGCACTTTTCAAATACAGGCTTGACAAGTTCAGGAAAAATTTTTCCTCCTACCTGAGGGATGGCACAAAACCGAAATATAGCAGGATCTCGTAAAGCAGACATGTACTTCAGGCAATCCTCCACATGTATCAAAGCATTAGTTACCATGTCATTCAAGCACTGAACTGCCTTCACTGAGTTCTCCTCATATTTCATGTCCTAAGAATGTAAATATCATTTTAGGAAATGCTACCATATAGAAGATAAACCAAACAAATTCTGTTTGCACTCATATCCACCAATTGAAACTGAATTAGATTTGGATTTCCAATATCAAAAGCTGAAACAAGAGGCAAAATAGTAGAGGAGACGGAAATTGACATAAAAATATGCAGCAGAGATATACCTCAAGTTTATTCACATATTTACCCCAAATCTCTCGAGGCCAAAACATCCGTGACTTTGGTATCTCATTAATATCCTCCAGATAATCTCGGATAATATTTGTTTTCTGTAATTTATTTCATCCAAAAATCAAGTGAATGTTAACAAATAAATAAATAAGAAGAAGAAGAAGAAGAGGGAGAAAGTTGATGGTGTCCTTGAAGTATGTTGGCTGCTTTATATACCATAATAATACCTGAAGAAACAAACCCATTGAATTAGAGAGAGAATCAGGAGCCAAATCTTCTGAGCCAGATGCACGGAACAATTTGGACAGACCTAATCCAACAAGCCCAGCTACATAGTGGCAATACTCATCATAGTCATCAACTGTTACAACCTGCAAGATAAGAGGAAGCTTAAATAGCATCACATCATACTACATTTGAAGTTGGTGCTTCTGCATCACAAATTATGTTAATGTAGCTATTAAGCTAAGAGACCAAACAGAATTCACAACTTCATAACCGAAAATTTAGATTTTTACTGAAAGGCCCAGGTAATGGCCAGCACTTTGAAACTAGTGACATATAAATAATTTAAAATAACCATAGCACAGAGCAATTATCTAAATCCTTCTTTCATGTTAGATATTCTCACAAAAGGAACATCATGATATCTAAAAAGATGGATCAAAAAGCTAAAACATTGGGTTAACTAATTAGCCACATCTGAAAGCAATAAGAGATACATTTAAACATTATAACAGAACCAATTACAAAGGGCGCTTGAATCTTCTTTTTTCTCTTTTTTTTTTTTTTTTTTTTT